CCCAAATTTTTCTATCACCCCTAACAGAAGCTCAGTGTCCTCTAAGCATTGTGCCCTCCTTTCCCCCTCTTTCTAATTCATTCCTGGTAAATATTAATCATTGATGTCAATTTACTTGCCTATTCTAGATATTTCATATAAGTGGGATGATATAATATCTGTCCTTTTCTGATTGATTTAATCTTTCACTCAGCAAAATGCTTTCAACATTCATCCATGCTGTTAGCAGATATTGTTGTTGTTGTTGTTATGTGCTGTTGAGTCAGACCCAACTCATAGCGACCCCTCCTTGGGTTTCCGAGGCAGTATCACTACAGAAGTAGATTGCCTCATCTTCCTTCCGAGGAGTGACTGATGGGTTTGAACCACTAGCCTTCTGGTTAGCAGTCAAGTGCCTTAGGCACTATGCTACCAGAGCGCCCGTTAGCAGATATTAGGACATCATTTATCTTTATGGCTGAGTAACACTCCATTGTATGTGTGTACCACATTTGGTTTATCCATTCATCAGTCAATGGATACTTAGCCTATTCCCACATTTTGGTTATTGTAACCATTGCTGCTGAAGGAAGGTTGGGCAATCCTACTTCCGTAGTGATACTGCCTCAGAAACCCAAGGAGGGGTCGCTATGAGTCAGGGCCGACTCGACGGCGAACAACAACAACAACAACAACCATTGCTGCAATGAATATTGATATATAAGTATGTGTTTGCATTCCTGCTGTTGATCCTACTTGGTACAAAACTAAAAGTGGAATTACTGATCATAAGATAATATTATGTTTAACTTTTTCAGGAACCACTAAACTGTTTCCCACGGTGGCCATACCATTTTACAATCCCACCAGCAATAGATGAGGATTTTTATTTCTCCACATCCTCACCAATAACACTTCTTTTCCATTTTTTATAAATCATAATCATCCTAGTGGGTGTGAAGTGATACCTCATTGGGGTTTTCACTTCCATTTCCCTAATGAATAATGACATTGAGCATTTTTTCATGTGTTTGTTGGCCATTTGTATTTCTTCTTTGGACAGATATCTATTCAACCACTTTGCCCATTTTTGACTGGATTGTTTGTCTTTTTGTTGTTGAAGTGTAAGAGTTCTTTATATATTCTGGATATTAATCTCTTATTCAATATACAGATTAGTTCTCTTTTGGTTTTTAGTTTCCTGCTCAAATTCCTTTTGAATGATTTCAATCTGGCCCCAAACAAAGGGAAAAAGAGCACTAATTTGACCACATGGAAGGCAGCCTGGTCAGGGAGAGCAGGGCACCCCCAAGAGGCAATAAGTGAGAACATCAGCTGCTGCACCAAAGCTCAGGAGGCAGAGGGCCCAGCTGGACAGGGAGGTGGACTCAGGTAGGAGCTAAGTTCAGGACAGGCATATTCCTCCCTTCCTGCCATCCCCACCAGTCACTGCACTAATGAAGAAAGTCAGTCAGCTTTGTTGGGGATGAACTGGGGTCCTCAACATGTCCAGGTTACCTTAACTAGCTTCATATACTTGTCTATGGCAGCTGTTTCTTGTGGAAACTTCTCCTTGAGGCCCTGAACAAAGGCTTTCTCCCCACTGTACATGGGGAACTCCTTTCGGCCATTGGGTCCTTCTAGTACCATAATGTCAAAGGGAGAGGACATGGCAGCCCAGTCTAGCTGTCCCTCAGTGATCTGGTCCAACATAAAACGGCCAATGCTGCCCTCCTGCATACGTCCAATGTAATGGATTCCTGTTGGGAGATGGAAACAAATAAATAAGGTATCAGAGGGTTAAGGGGAGTAAGCCCTGGAAAGGTGGACAAGGAACCAAGGTGGAAGAGGTTGTCTGGCATGGTAGAGGGGGCTTCCCACCCTCTGGGGAGGTATCACAGCAGAAATCATTACATCCTTGCTCACTTCAGGTCCCAGTGGGAGTATGGCTGTCAGAAAAGAAAAGTGGTGCCCAGAGGGAAAACACAGCCCCTAAAACAACAGAGATGCCCAATATCATCCTACAATGGCTACTCCAAGGCTCCTGGAGATAGAGCCCTTTTCCCAACTTTTTTCCACACAAGCCTTACCTGTGTCAAATTCAAGGCCATCCTGTCCAAAGGTATGACAGCAGCCCCCCGCCTTGGTATGTTGTTCCAGCACCAGAACTCGCTTGCCAGCTTTGGCCAGAATGGCAGCAGCAGCCAGACCCCCGAAGCCACTTCCTATCACGACCACATCCAGCTTCTCTGGCACTTGGCTGACTGAGAAGGCTGCAGTAGAGGGAAGAGATACAGGTAGGCTTCTTAGGCAGCGGCAGAGAAAGACGAAAGACATGGAAACCAAGGAAGGCTTCTCTAGATTGTACAACGCAGAAACCTCTGGAGCACTTTGTACGGAGCTCCTGTGTAAGTTGCCTCAAACAGTTTATCTTAGAAATACTCAAGACTCATTAGGCAGATGAAATACAACAACTTGGTTTGATCAGAACTAACAAGTTTTAACTAAAGCCACTATAAAGAATCAGTGAACAAAAAGGAGGCAGGTAATAATATAGCCTGAGAAACTTAGGTGCAGAGAGAGAACTAGGGAAGAAAGAAAGCAAGGTAGGGGATGGGAAGAACGTTATGGTGCAGGCTGCCAGCTCCTGGAATGGTTAGTTTACAAGTCAGTTCTCTTTCCCAGCTTCAGGGTCTGTAGGCACCAGTGAAGCAATCAAGTGGTCTGGTGGTAATTGGAGACAGAGCTGCTCATGGCATCTAAAATATATTTCAGAGGCTGCTGCTCTGAGAAATCACAGCACCACCCCTTACACTGTGGAAGTCTGGAGGCAATGGAGGCAGGGCTGAGGGTGCAGGAACTGAACAGAAGACAAAACTTGACAATATATGGCTCCTTCTGGTGGTGCTATATGGGCATCTCTAACACAAGATCTGTTCTTTAAGGACTCAGTCACTCAGGAGGAACTGAGATGTGAACATTAAAGCTGGAAAGGAACTCTGCAAAATTTTTATCTTTCAAACATTTTTAGAGAGCTCTATAGTGAAAAACACCTTTTTTATCATGACCCAGAACACATGTAAGTATATAAATGGAACAGATGTTTCACAACACAATACTCAGTATAATATTTTCTATTCTTCTGTATTTTGAAATGCTATTTGTAATCCATTAAATTGATTTTATGACTCACTCATATGTCACAACCTGATCTGAAAAACAATTAAACTAGGTATCTGATTTTAGAACAGTCCAGGTCCGTGGAGAAACTTGTTAATGGTTATGCAATAGTGTGAGTCCAACTGCTCTCACAAGTTGAGACTATCAGTCCTTCCACTGAAAACAGCATGGCCTCCAACAGTTAGCAAGCCATCTCAGTCAGAATTTTAAATGTACAAGTAAAAGAGACCCTGGAGGTCAAAATGGGTGTGTGTGTGTGTGTGTGTATATATATATATATATATATATATATATATAATGTTGTTGTTATGTGCCGTGGAGTCAGCCCCGACTCATAGCGACCCCTCTTTGGGTTTCTGAGGTGGTATCACTATGGAAGTATATTGCCCAACCTTCTTTCCGAGGAGTGGCTGGTGGGTTTGAACTGCTAGCCTTCTGGTTAGCAGTCAAATGCCTTAGGCACTGTGCTACACACACACACACACACACACACACAGCAGAACTCTTTCTTCAAACCTCATGAACAACCCCAAGATGTGTTTTACAGACGACAGGGGAGGTATTCTGGTTGAAGAGAGAGATGCTCTGACCATAAGCACCTTGTGGAGGAGCTTTGCTCAAAGTTTCAGGATCAGGGCTTAAGCCTTGGGGCTGAACTGGGCATAACGAGTCAAATCACTTGACGGACAAAACGCAATTTTCTTTACAAGTTGAAAAGAGTTCTGTGCAGCTCCTTCACTACCCTGAGCACCGGTAGTTGAGTTCTTGAAAAAAGTTAAGGCGGGAGCTGAGTAGGGGAAAAAATCTCTTCTTACGTATCCCGTGAGCTGCAGGAATGTCATGTGATGGGGCCGGGACTTGGCTGAACTAGGACTTGGCTATACCATTGATATGAGATATCGATATAACAAGGACGGTGCCGGCGCCTGTGGGGTTACTAACTCCCCGGGCTTATCCTGGGCAAAGCCTCTTGCAACGAGCGGCTACTACAGTGCCCGCTCTCCACCTCCACCACCACCATACACACACACACACACACACACACACGGAAGCCTTCCCAGCATTTTACATATGGGGAAACTAAACCCTAGGTTGAGACATCTTAGAATGAGGACGCAAGCCCGCGAGGGCTGGAGGTGAGGTTGGCACCGGACCCCAGAATCCCTTCCGCTGACCTTGTTTGAGAACTTTCTTCCTGGCTTCCTTGTCGGTCACCAGGGGCGCGGGCGGCCGCTTAACGTCCTCGGAAAAGGGGTTCCGGGACCTGTCAGTAAACAGCACCAAGTAAACTTTGCAGAGGATCGCCAGCAGCAGCACGGCCAGCAGCAACGGCCACATCGTGCCCACCGAGGTTCGCTAGTGAGTCCCCTCACACACCGCCGGCTTTGTAGGCTGAGGCTCCGCCCCTCCGCCGGGAGGCGGAGACAAGGTTTTGTTATTTTTTTTCCCTTTGGGTGAAAGGTCATAGAGGAAATTGGGTGAAAGTTCGCAGAGTAAGTTTGGTTTCCATTCAGCAGTCCATACACATTCTACTTCGTGGCATTTACTGCAATCCCCACTCTGTAACAACATTCTTCCCAATGCGCCCATCCCTTCCCTTTGTCCTTCTCATCCCCTCCTGCCTTTCTACTAGCTCTCCAAAACAAAACAAAACAAAACTCACTGCCGAGGTGAGAACTCCATTGGACTCATCAAATCATAGCGACCCCTCTTTGGGCTTCCAAGGGGGACTCTCTACAGAAGGAGATTGCCCAGTCTTCCTTCCGAGGAGTGGCAAGTGGATTTGAACTGCCAGTCTTCTGATTAGCAGTCAAAATGCCTTAGGCACTTTGCCACCAGAACTCCCTTTTTAGCTCTATTCCTGGGCAAATGTTGTCCTCTTGATCTATGCTTGATTGCTCTAATGAGTGCACACCCTCCTGATAACGTTGTTGTTAGGTGCCGTGGAGTCTTCTGCGACTCATAGTGACACTATCTATGTACAGCAGAACGAAACACCACCCGGTCCTACATCAGCTCCACAGTTCTTGCTATACTTAGCCCATCACCACTGCCACCATGTCAATCCATCTCGTTGATGGCCTTCCCCTCTTTGGTGGACCCTCCCCCTCACCAAACATAACATCCTTCTCCAGTGAATGGTCCCTTCTGACAACATGACCAAAGTATGTAAGAGGAAGTCTGGCCATTCTTGCTTCCAAGGAGCATTCCGCCTGCACTTCCTCCAGGACAGATTTGTTAGTTCTTTTAGTAGTCCACGGTACTTTGAGCATTCTCGGCCAACACCACGACTCAAAAGCACTGACTTTTCTTCGCTCATCTTTACTCATTGTCCAGCTCTCACATGCATATGAGGCGACTGAAAATACCATGGCTTGTGTCAGGTGCACCTTAGTCTTCAAGGAGGTATCTGTGCTCTTCAGCACTTAAAAGAGCTCTTTTGCAGCAGATTTGCCAAATGCTATACGTCATCTGATATCTTGACTGCTGCTTCCATTGTTGACTGTAGAACCAAGCAATATGAATTACTTGACAATTTCAAACTTTTGTCCATTTATCATGATACTGCTTATAGGTCCAGTTGTCAGGATTTTTGTTTTCTTTATACTGAGATGTAATCCATACTGCAGACTATTCTTCAATCTTCATCAGTAAGTGCTTCAAGTCATCCTCACTTTCAGCAAGCAAAGTTGTGTTGTCAAAGTTGTGTTCTTCCTCCAATCATGATGCCATATTCTTCTTCATATAGTCCAGCTTCTTGGATTATTTGCTCAGCATACAGATTGAATAAGTATGGTGAAAGGATACAACCCTGACACACTCCCTTCTTGATTTTAAACATGCAATGTCCCCTTGTTCTGTTCGAACAGCCTCCTGGTCTATGTACAGGTTCCTCATAAGTACAATTAAGTGTTCTGGGATTCCCATTCTTCTCAATGTTATCCACAATTTGTTATGATCCACACAATCAAATGCTTTTGCCCAGCCAATAAAACACAAGTAAACATCTTTCTGGTACTCTTTGCTTTGAGCCACAATCCATCTGACATCAGCAATGATATCCCTCATTCCACATCCTCTTCTGAATCCAGCTTGCATTTCTGAAAGTTCCCTGTCAATATACTGCTGCAACCCTTTTTAAGTTATCTTCAGAAAGAATTTACTTGCCTGTCATATTAATGATATTGTTCAATAATTCCCATATTCTGTGGGATCACCTTTCTTTAGAATGTGTACAAATATGGTTCTTTTCCAGTCAGTTGGCCAAGTAGCTGTCTTCAAGATTTCTTGGCATAGACAAGTAATCATCTCCAGTGCAGCATCCATTTATTCAAACATCTCAATGGGTATTCCATCAATTCATGGAGCCCTGGCTTGTTTGGTGTTTGTTTGTTTTTCCAATTCCTTCACTACAAATTTGACTTCTTCCTTCAAGACCATTGGTTCTTGATCATATGCAACCTCCTGAAAAGGATGAACATTGACCAATTTTTTTTTTTTTTTTTGGTACAGTGACTCTGTATATTCCTTCCATGTTCATTTGATGCTTCCTCCATCATTCACTATTTTACTCCTAGAATTGTTGAATGTTGGAATTCAAGGCTTGAATTTTTTTCTTCAGTTCTTTCAGCTTGAGAAATGCTGAGTGTGTTTTTCCCTTTTGGTTTTTTAACTCTAGGTCTTTGCATATTTCATTATAATTGACTGTGTGTTCTTGGCATTTGACTGCTAACCAGAAGACTGGCGGTTCAAACCCACCAGTCACTCTTTGGAAGGAAGGTTGGGCAATCTACTTCTGTAGTGATACTGCTTTGGAAACCCAAGCAGGGGTCACTATGAATTGGATCAATTCAACGGCAATGTGGTGCATTTCATTGTGTCTTCTTGAGCTGCTCTTTGAAATCTATTCTGCTTGTCACTTCTTCCATTTGCTTTAGCTACTCTCTATTCAAGAGCAAATTTCAGAGTCTCTCCTGACATCTGTTTTGGTCTTTTCTTCCTTTCCTATCTTTTTAATGATCTTTTGCTTTCTTCATGTATGATGTTCTTGATGTCATCCCACAATTCTTCTGGGTTTTTGGTCATTGGTGTTCAGTGCATCAAATCTGTTCTTCAGATGGTCTCTAAATTCAGGTGGGATATAGTCAAGGGCCTATTTTGGCTCTCATGGACTTGTTTTAATTGTCTTCAGCTTCAACTTGAACTTGCATATGGTCAATTGATGGTCTGTTCCACAGTCAGCTCCTGGCCTTGTTTTGGCTCAAGATGCTGAGCTTCTCCATCACCTCTTTCCACAGAGGTAGTCAATTTCATTCCTGTGTATTCCATCTGGCCAGGTCCACATGTATACCTTCTGTTTATGTTGTTGAAAAGAGGTATTTGTACTTTGGTGAGTAATGACTGGGATCTTGAAAGCTTGCAAGCAACCATGTAGATGCAATGATGGGTCTCTCCTCATTCAGAGCAAAGAATAATGAGGAAAACCAAAGACGCATGGAAACAATTAGTTTGAGGGACTGGGACACCATGTGATCCTTAGCCTACAGGACTATGAGACCAGAAGAAGTAGATGATGCTCAGCTACCACTGTCAACCACTTGGAGGGGGATCTATGTAGGAGATCCTGGATAGAGTAGGAGAGCGGTGTGGAACAAAACTCAAAATCATAAAAAAAGAAAAAAAAGGACCAAGATTGTTGGTGTGACAGAGCCTTGTGGAACCCCTGGGACTATGGCCCATAGCTGCCCTTCACCTTTAGGTCTGGAATTGAACCCACTCCTGCGGCATCCAGACAAACAAAAGACAGGAACATGAGCTGAAATTTTACATTAGGTAGATGCACTCCTTGGAGAGATCAATCATGGGAGAATAGTAGGGCTGTGTATGCACAGGGAGACAGCTCAGGGGGCAGGAGTGCATGGAAGGGAAGGACACAGGGAAGAGGTGACTATGGGGAGAAAGTGGGAAGGGAGCTTTTACATTGTGGTAAATTGTAGTCAATGTCATGAGACAAAGTGTACATGAGGTGCTGTATGGAAAGTGAATATGCTCTGTAAACTTTCACTCAAATCACAATAAAAAATTTAAAAGGAAAAGAGGTATTTGCAA